TCTCAAAGCAGAATGCATCTTTGTTTTGATGCTGCAAAACAAAGCAGGAAACTTATTCTTAATTTTCAATCATACACTCAGAGGGGCATAAACTATGAAGCTACCAAATACAGAAGTCAACTCTCTTTTCTGTACTTCTCTGAAAAGGCCAATCTCAGTTCTCATGTTCAGACTCCATGAGATTTTATGTGTAATCGGTGTCCAAAGACTATCTTTAGATGTAGGCAGGCTGCTAGAGAAGGGATCCACTTCTATTTAACTAAGTCAAGGTAACTACCCCTCAAAATCGTAGGAAGGACTACCATCCCTGGAAGGAGTGACTGGTAAACCAGGAATCCCCAGGAGACATGATTCGAAGTGGAGCAACTTGAGTAACACAGGCATCAGGGAAGGAAGAGGTCCACAGCCCTGGAGGTGAGGACCAGAGGGTGAGCCCGGACTGGCCAAAGCTGGGCACCCACTCTCTCAGGGACACTGTCTCTTAGTTTCCCTCCAATAAGGAACCCTGGGTCCTGATCTTTTATTATCTCCTTACAGTGTGATTACCCACTGGCCTTTCCATTTCCACACTGAGGATCAACTGCACATCCATATGGTGAAACTTGCCAGTGTCCTTCCTGACTCACCATCAATAACAGCCAAGCTATTACCAGGGATCCTGTGCTAAGCAAACTTACGTGATCACTGAATTCTCACAGCAGCCCCATGAGGCAGGGAGTATTATGATCCCCATTCTCCACATAAGGAGACAGGCTCAGAGAGGTTAAACAACAGATAAGGCTTGAATCCAGAGCTGTCTCCACCAATGCCTATGTTTTATTGCTTCCCGAAAACACAAACGTTGTCTCTGACTCCAGACCTTCAAAGACAGTTCCTACTGGTTGCAGCAGGCTGCGGCTGCTTCAAGGTCATCCCAAACTTGAAAGGCTACGTGTAGTTTAGGAGGTGGTGGACAGGACTCCAGTGTTACAGTCCCCTCCTGATCCCCAAACCCTCACCCCCCTGGTTTTGGAAATCCCCCACCAGATGGCCAACAGGGGATCTTGTCCCATGTCAGGTACAAATAAGCAGGTAAGAAATGCTTTTCAAAGATAACGTCCTGTGACCTAATAGCTATAATCCTTTGCTTGCTCTTTGCTCTCCCTGATACTTAGCATTGTTGATAATGAGAAGATAAATGGGCCATAATCTTAAAATGCACTGTTCAGATGCACTTATAATGCACTATGATCTTAAAATGCATTGTCGATGGAATTAGAAAACAAAAATCCGAATCTGTTGTTAAATTTATACTTTCAAGGATTCTCACAGTGAAGGCTTTCCAAGGGTGGACACAGCCTGTCCCATTCAGGTGTCCTGGACACTAACTTGGGCCTGGGTGTTCTTTGCACCACATTAATTGCCGTCACTGTGGTCTGCGGAGGGCGCACTGACCCTCTGAAACCAGGCCCCGCAATGGCCTGTGTTTTAGAAAGAAAATGTAGGAATATTGAAACGTCAAATGTCAGGCAGAAGCATGGAGGCATATCAGCGGGAGGTAAGTGACTAGTGAAGTTGGCTGCTAGCACCAAAAACTGGAAAGATACAGCCTTTATCCTGTGGTGTGAGGGGAGCCTGTTGTATGTAAGTAAGCCAGGTAGAGAGGGCCAAACACCAGAGACCAAATGAACTTTAAAGACAAGTACAGGGAGCCCGGAATTTTTCCCTATTTTTGGCTATAAAGTTGAAGCAATAAAAAGAGTGGAAGTTGACAGCCTGTAAGATTCACAGTGGTGCCACCCTAAGTGCCACGGACTTAGGAAAACAAAATGTGTGTGCAACGTCAGCTACTGAAAAGCTTCTTAGACATGCGGGAACCAGAGTGCTATTCAATTTCTAGATTCTCTAGAGAATAAAGCCTTGTAATTATCGTTCTCAAAGTTAGGGTGAGCTTTATCCAAGAGAGTCAAGGTGATTTATTTCCATAATAAAAAAAGCACTTTGAAAGATGCCTTTGTTGTTCAAAAATACAGATACAACTAGCAAAAGTATCTGTGACAGCTGTGAAAACACTGAAGTGCCAATGAAGGCATTTTTCTCTTTTTCGTCACAGCTGTTCAGTTCAGGGCAAGTTTACTGTCCTCTTCTACTAAGCTTCCCAACCTAAAATCCTGGCCTCTATGAAGTATGAAACATTGTCCTTGAATTTTCTTGAATAGGCTGCCACCACGTGGTGACCACTAAAAAAGCACATAGGTTTGAGTTTAATTGCAAGACCATGTTGCTGGGCTATTTTAAAACAAGAAGGAATTATGTACATCAGATCCACCTGCCACTGAAAAATTACAAATCTCAGTCGAGAGGCCCGTCTCCCCTGGACAGGACTACAACTTGTTGGTTTCCATCCTCACGCTGCAAAGTGAAGAACATGTATTTTTAGATTTTAGTAATTTATTGTACTTAATGCGCTTTTAATTTAACTTCACTTTGCTTGAAATTTGTGAAATTCATTGCCAGTTTTTGAAATTAAAAACTTTATTAACTATTTCAGACATGGAAATGTAAAAGCATAACATAACACACCTGAACATCCAGCCCATTGGCTAGTTTAAGGAAAGGCATGACCAACACAAGTGAAGGTCCCCTAGTCTCCTCTTACCTACCTGCACATCTTTGTCCTGTCATGGTTTTCCTGATCTGGTTCACAGTTTCTACTCCTTTCTTTATACTTTTACTTTATATGTATGGAGCCCTAAAAATATATACGTGGTACTGATTTAAAACCCTATATAAATGGTGTTAGATGAAATACAGCCTTCTGCAACGTGTTTTTTTCCAATGAATGCTGTTTTTAAAAATTCTTTCTTGTTGTATTTACAGCTCTAGTTTTCTTCAAAATTGTCTTGTTTTTGTCCTTGTGCTTCCATGTAAATGGAATCAGCTTGTCATATGTCAAGCTGATTATGTCAGGGTTCTTTTTTTTTTTCTTGCGGTATGCGGGCCTCTCACTGCTGTGGCCTCCCATTGCAAAGCACAGGCCCTGGACGCGCAGGCTCAGCGGCCACAGCTCACGGGCCCAGCCGCTCCGTGGCATGTGTGATCCTCCCGGACCGGGGCACGAACGCGCGTCCCCTGCATCGGCAGGCGGACTCTCAACCACTGCGCCACCAGGGAAGCCCGACGTCAGGATTCTGATTCTAATTTATAGATTGATTTGGGGAGAATTAGTATCTTTAAGATGAGTCTTATTGGGCTTCCCTGGTGGCGCAGTGGTTATGAATCCGCCTGCCGATGCAGGGGATATGGGTTCAAGCCTTGGTCCGGGAAGTTCCCACATGCCACGGAGCAATGAAGCCCATGCACCACAACTACTGAGCCTGCGCTCTAGAGCCCGTGAGCCACAACTACGGAAGCCCGCGTGCCTAGAGCCCATGCTCCGCAACAAGAGAAGACACCGCAATGAGAAGCCCGTGCACCGCAACGAAAAGTAGTCCCCGCTCTCTGCAACTAGAGAAAGCACGCACGCAGCAAGGAAGACCCAGTGCCGCCAAAAATAAATAAATAAAATAAATTAATTAATTAAAGAAAAAAAAAAGATGAGTCTTCTTATCCGTGAATATGGTATCTCTGCTTTTAATTGGGTCTTCTTAATGACATTCATCAAAATTATATAATTTCTTTCAAAAGGTCAGAAATAACTTTTGCTAAATATATTCCTAGATACCTTATATTCTCATTGTTATCATAAACTGTATTTCTTTAAAAATTAATTTTCTAACTGTGGGGAGTAGTGTTTAGAAATGCAATTGATTTTTGCATGTTGATCTTATATCCAAGAACCCAGATGAACTCTTACTAATTCTGATATTTTAATAGGTTCTTTTGGACTTTTTATGTAATCATATTACCCAGGATTGATGACAGTTTGGTGTCTTCCTTTCCGATCATTATGAATTTTCTTCCTTTCTTTCTTCATATTACTGCATTGTCTAGGAATTCCCACACAATGCTGGTTAGGAGTACTAATAACAGGCGCCCTTGTCTTTCCTAATTTAAGAAAATGTTTCTAATATGTCACTGTTAAATGAGATTTTTCACTCTAAGTTTTTATAGATGTTTTATCTTGTTAAGGAATTTCCTTAAATTCCTAGTCTAATGTTTTTCTCAGGAAAAAATCATAATGAATATTAGATTTTATCTAGTGACTTTTCTGCATCTACTACGGTGACAGTATAGTTTTTAATCTGATAATGTGGTAAATTACATTAATACATTTTAACAGATTTTAATGTCAGACCCCCCTGCAATCCTATGATAGTCCCAGTGGGATACTGGATTTGGTTTTCTATTTTGCTAACGATTATTTCATCTATGTTATAGGTGAAATTGGCCTGTAATTATCCCTTAGCACCTTGTCATTGTCTGCACTGGGCACTCATACAATGAGTTAGGAAATGTTCTTTTTCTATTCTCCAGAGAAAATGTTCTTTCCTGTGGTAACTCATTTATAAAACGACCTAGTGCCTTTTTTTGTTTGCTTGTTTGCTGGGTAGACTGATTCAATGTCTTCAATTATATATAAGAGTACTCAATTTTACTTGAATCCGTTTTGTAAGTTACAGTTTCTAGGAAAGTTTTCATTCCATACAATTTTTCAAATTTATCCACATAAAGTTGTTCATATTCTCCTTTTTAAAAAATAATTTTTGCTTCTGTGGTTATGTCCCCTTGTTTGTTCATAACATTGCTGGTGTTCTCTCTTTTTGTCTTAATTACTTTGGCTAGTGGTGTGTCTATTTTACTAGACTTTTCCAAGAACTATCTTTTGGCTTTGCTGATAACCTCTCATATTACATATTTGTTTTCTGTTTCAGTAATCTCTGCTCTTTTGTTTTCATCCTTTGAGATTTTCTGCTGTTCTTTCTCTAACTTTTTATGTTAAACGATCAGCCTATGCATTTCAGTCCTCCTTCTCTAATATAGGCATTGAAGGATATGTTTCCAACATGAAAGATGCTTACCTTGCTTTGAAGCTGAGGTGTTTTCCACTGGGAGCTCATTGTCATGGACCCTTTTCTCTGGAACAGGCATTGCAGGGTGGCTTCCAAAGACCCATGGGCTCCTATTACCAAGATCTTCTTTCCATCTAAGTTGACACCTACCCACCAAATGGAAATTCAGTATTATAATCAAAACTTCAAAGTCTTCCTCCCATACAGCTTTAATGTAAGGAAAAATAGCTTTTATCTTAATTTAATTTTTGGACAGGAAAGCAGCATTTATTGGTGGGCGTGATTAAGGAGGGGACAGCGCCAATGCTCTCATGAGTGAAGGGCTTGCCATTTGTCCAAGGGGCCACGATTAGGAATGTATTTGATCCCACAGCTATCTGGGATGAGCCACTTTTCTACCACCATGTTTTCATATTCATCCGCATTAAACTTAGTAAATCCCCACTTCTTGGAGATGTGAATCTTCTGGCGGCCAGGGAACTTGAACTCGGCCTGTGCAGGGCCTCAATCACATATTCCTTGTTCGGCAGCTTGGTGCGGATGGACATTACGATTTGGCCAATGCGGACCCAGGCCACTGTGCCCTGGGGCTTTCCAAAGGCACCGCACATTACCTGTCTGGAGCCCAGACTGGGGACAGCACGGCAGACATGAATGTCCACTGGAAAGGGCTGTCTCGAAGTCCCTTAGGGCAACCCATACAGGCAAGAGGCTGCACACACTACCAAGGAGGCTGCTGTTTGCAACCATGGCACACTGGGCTCCCACGGGGAAAAGAGCAGGGTTGGCTTAATTGGCTGCAAAAAAATCGCCTTTTAAAACTTGGCCCTCTGAGCACCAAACCTACAATGACTATAAGCCATAACTTATTCCTTCTTTGCAAACTTTATGGTAGAGTGACCTAGAGTCATCATCCTAATTATCCATATGATGGAAAAACACTGTCTATACGGATTATCTCAGAGATTTGAGCTTAATGGCTAGTGTCCTAAAGGCATATCTTGAAAATTAATCTTCTAATAGAACTTTGGTATATATTTTGGAATTTTTGTTCAATCATTTCATGTTTGGGTGTAGGGGAGGGGCATTGTCTCCTTTTCACTCAAGCTGGTGTACAGAAAAAATTAAATACTGATTACTGAAAGAGATACTGCTCACTGATAGATCCTAATCTAGGTTTCTATACCCTAAACTATATCTGACAGCTTCTTCATTTAAGTTTTAAATATAAAACTTATCTAGGTTTACATATTGACAGATATGAGAAGCTGAAACTTGAAACATTTTTCATTGTGGTTATTTTGAGGGTTTCATAAGAAAAACTGAGAAAACACAGGTTAATCATTCATCTTTACCAATTTCTCTTTAAAATTATAATACAGCTAATCTTATTAGAAAAATTGCCAGTCATTCATATCTCCTAAAAGATGAGAAAAATAAAGCTGACACTAAATATCGCTTCTGTGTTTCAATAAGTATCTTCCAGAAACAAATCCTTACTAAAAACTCACATAAATAACAAAAAATAGAAAATAGCAACATTTCTGAAGGTGCATACCTGACTTTTCAAGAAGTTCAATTACAGCTCTGGCCACAGGTGAAACAAAACACTCATGGGCGTCCCCACGTACCAACTTCCCCAGGTTTACATCCGTTACTCTGAATCCAAAAATAAGAGAACAAGTAAGTCAAGCTTGGGCAAAACTCACTCATCTGTAATTCACATGAATTAATCCCAAATAACATCTAAGTCAATATTTGATATGACGAAATACAATTTATCTTTTAAGGCAGGACAAGAAAAAATTAAATATAAAATTCTCTCTGCGTGGTTGTTTGGGCCTCGTCCCTCCCTCATGTGCAGTGTGTATCTTGGTTAAACATTAACCAGGGCTTCCCTGGTGGCGCAATGGTTGAGAGTCCACCTGCCGATGCAGGGGCATGGGTTCGTGCCCCGGTCCGGGAAGATCCCACATGCCGCGGAGCGGCTGCGCTCGTGAGCCATAGCCACTGAGCCTGCGCGTCCGGAGCCTGTGCTCCGCAACGGGAGAGGCCACAGCAGTGAGAGGCCCGTGTACCGCAAAAAAAAAACCCCAAGAAAAACCATTAACCAGAGCTCTTCAAAGATGAGAATTCCTGCTTATTTTTTTCTTCTGACGCTAGCGGTGTAACTTCTTAAAAGACCAGTGTTCTTTCCCAGCTCTGTAGGGGGTCATGGTGACTTGCTGCTCGCTCTGTACATGCTGACCTGGACTATGTATCCTTGGTGAACTTTACGTAAAACATCAGTATGTCATTTTGATGTTCGATCCTTTCTCTCAAAGATGTATATGACTGTGCCTTTGACTTCTAACAGGCGGAACAGTTCTCAGACCTTCCTGAGAATCTGCTTCCTGGGTTATAATCCTTGGTTTGGCTTGAATAAAATTCCCTTTCTTCCTTCTTTACTTGATCGTTAATTGAATTTTCATCGACAGATAGGTAGGATATATTAAATTATTAAATAGAAATGAAAAGAGTGAGCAGGAATAGAGGTCATTAGCTTCTAGAGCAGCCCCTCAGGCAACTCCAACATGGTCCCTAGGAGTCAGGACGACGTTGGGCGTTCTGGTTCTGCCTGGACAGCAGGACCGCAGCTGGAGGCCACGTGGGGCTTCACTGCACAATGCTAGGGAGCTCTGTTCAATGGACTACATGGAATGGTGGCCCTGGATGTGTGCAATGCCGTGGTCCTGCAGCCACTTTATCCTGAGGAAATTTACATCTCCATCAATATCAAAGTCCAGAACCAATCCTAGAAATCAGGGGTGACCTAGCAAGACTTGGATTCAAGGTCTGATCCCCACTCGACATCAGTACTTATCTCCTTAAGGAAATCAAGGAAAAAAATGAGGGACCATGTCCTTTCAATGCCTTCTGTGTTCTTCCTCGGTCAAACCAAGGACAAAATAGTCCCTAACTATTTAGCTTAAATTGATGGTCTCAATACAGGTTAGTAACAAAATAGAGATACTTGGAAAACTTTTCATAATTCTCTCTTTTTATGAAAGACTGGAAACTACATCTTGATACCCTAGGATTCTGGATGTTTTCTAATTGATTAGAGCCTCTTCCCCCGTTATGGTTTGTCTGCTATAGGATCGGAGATTTTCACGACAATCTTCTACCCATGTTTGAGTCTGCCCTAAGTCACAAGAGAAGGCTAGGATAATGGGGGAACCTGGGTATGCCAGTGAGGTGCTGGTCACTCAATCCAGTCCCTACAAGACTAACGTTATAAATTTGCTTATGACCCTGGAATGCTAAATATATCACGTTCTTTCTGGCCACGATACAAACATTTCTTATTTCCATGTAGGAAGAAGAGGTTTTTAACTTCCAGGAAACATCATGAACTCCCATGTGGATGGTCAGCATTCCCTGTCCCATGAAGCTTACGTCATGACCTGAGTCTAAGACCAATATCAGAGCACCTGATATTCACAGTTTTTCCCTCAAATTTCAAATAAAACCTCACGTTATGAATGTAAGTGCTTGCTTTGTTTTCCTCCGCTGGCCTGGGACTATGGCAGAATGTGCTACTGTGGTGAAGCAGGCCCCTGGGTTTTTTCTCTCGTTTGGTAGAATTATTAAGGAAAAGGAAAAGCTATTAGAAGAGGAGAGCTGGCTAAGGACTCTGTAGGTCAGACAGGAGCTTCTCAAATGAATATGATTTGGCCAAAATGGCACCCAAGCACTACAAAAGGGCAAGTGTATTTTCTCAAATACGTACTTTCTTAAGCATAATTTTACAAGCCCTCCAACTCCTGAAATATTTAGAATGATTTCATTCATGGCTCAATTACTGACATAGTTGAAAGAGCAGAATTTTAAGGAATTCACAGTAGAAAAACTAGTTTAGCAATGAGTCGATTGTTTTCTTTTATATGTTCTCACCCATCCACATCTTTTTCTGGTTTCAAGGCATTGAGGATTTTGTTGCTAAATGAGGTCTCGGAGATCTGAAGGGCAAGGCCATGTATTCTGGTGTCTTCATTAATCTTCAGGATCTCATCTATAATCTAAAGTGAAAACTAAAGTCAGTTTTGCAAAAATAAGACCCAAGAACAGACGCTTTATGTCAAAAATAGATTCATAAAAATGCATCTGTTTTAGTTTCTTTTTTCTCCTTGTTGAAGACCTGGTGTAAAGCAGAATGAAGAAGTCTATGTTCCCTCTAACCACGTTTATAAAAGCTTGGCTGAATTTTTTAGTGACTTCAAGTCCTTCTTATCGCTCTATTCTCTGCCAGAACAGAACAAAACAAAACCAAAGCTCAACGGTTAATAAAGCTGAGATCAGCAAAAGACAATTCCCTGTCCACAATCAGATTTGAGCCCAATGCAATGCCAACTTTCAGGGAGGCCAGGGCTCAGGAACCTCGAGCATTCCAACCTGGCCCAGAGAAGCCTGCGTTTCAAGCACAGTGTGCGTAACCAAAGCTTACTAATCATGACACTCGGGCCCTCCTGTTCTCTGGACCAGAATGGCATGTAGAAAGCATTTCCAAAGGCTTAGGACGGAAAACCTCTAAGCACAGACAGCTCCATTTTACAGGAAACACTAAAATAATTTGCTGTTTATGAAAAAGACCAAAGCAGTTTGGGAAGCTAATATAATCGCTATTGAATGGCCAGGTATGTCTTTAAATAAGCAATGCTCTGGCCTCTCTGTTTACCTCTATTTTACGCCAGGATTTCACTTAGCAATGTTACTAGTTCATAACTAAGAGAGATTCTAGCTCGTAGATATGGATCTCACTATGAGAAGTGTTGGTTTACCATTTCTGTTTTACTATCTAGCAAAAATCATGATGGTATTTCTACCTGGTAAGAGAAGAAAAAGCTATTTGATATATTCAGAAAACTCAGAAAGAAAATTTTGTTTAATATTCATCATTCTGTCATTCATTCAACAAATGTTGAATGTTTTGAATATCTACCTTGTACCAGTTCTGAGTAAAGGAAATACAGTTGTAAAAAATATCTGCCCTCATGGAGCTTATAGTCTAGTAGAGAAGACAAGACCAATAACAACAACAACAGGGACTTCCCTGGTGGCACAGTGGTTAAGAATCTGCCTGCCAATGCAGGGGACACGAGTTCAATCCCTGGTCCAGGAAGATCCCACATGCCTCTGAGTAACTAAGCCCGTGCACCACAACTACTGAGCCCACGCTCTAGAGCCTGTGAGACACAACTACTGAGCCCGTGTGCTGCAACTACTGAAGCCCACTTGCCTAGGGCCCGTGCTCCACAGCAAGAGAAGCCATAGCAATGAGGAGCCCGTGCACCGCAACAAAGCGTAGCCCCCGCTCGCTGCAGCTAGAGAGAAAGCCCGTGCACAGCAACAAAGACCCAATGCAGCCAAAAAATAAAATAAATAAAATTACAAAAAAAATAACAATAATAATAGTATAATCTCTGAAATTGATATGGAGTGATGGCGGGTAGGGGGTGGTCAGACGGGGTGGCATCTATACATAGAGCCCAGCCAGAATGAAGTGAGGGTACTATTGTTACCTCCAACGTAGTTAGAGGTAACAACGACAACAAAATCTTAATAAATTAAGATCCTTACTCTTTTCCAACATAATAACACCATCATATAAATTCCCATTTATCAGAATTTCAAAGAAAAAGAGTGAATAAGTGACTCCTTGTCAAAAAAATAAGCCAAGGGGAACCTAAAGGAGAAGGAAATCCAAAAAAAGAGGGGATATATGTATAAATATAGCTGATTCACTTTGCTGTACAGTATAAACTAACACAGTATTGTAAAGCAACTATACTCCAATAAGAATTTTTAAAAAATACTGTGACAAACTGGAAAAAAAATTTGAATGAAAAAAATTAAATAAGCCAAGGGGGAAAAAAAAGTCAAGGGCTATCAAAACAGCGGCAAAACAATCTAAGAACATGCAAATTCCACTGCAGAAAATGAGTGTCCTCTGCAAAGGGAAAACGCATTTCTCCGCATTCTGTTAGTACTGGTAGGACAGGTGTCAGTATTGGTAATATCTTATAATGGCAAGTGTGGTAGAAACTGTTTGCCCAATATCCAATTTCTGTTCTTTCTTAGTAATGAACTCTTAATTTTTAGCTGTGCTAAGAAATGATCTCAGGCCACTTGGTATAAAGACCACATTTCTCGCCTCCCTTGCAGAAAGGCCAAGCAATTAGGTTCAGGCCAGTGGAATGCAAGCAGAACTGTGGCTTTCAGGAGAAAGACTGGGATCCTGACTTTGGTCTTTGTCTTTCCTTTCTCTTGCTGGTGATAAGAACTTGTTGAACTAAGCCCTGTGATCCTGGAAAACAGGGATGGTTAAGAAATGCCCCCATCCTGTGTGGACTGCAAAGAACCACCTTCCCCATATGATTCTGACACGACCATCCAATGCTCCCTAGTCTCCAGACCCCACAAAGTTCTATTCTTTGTTCATAAATGATTTACTTGAACTGCTGGTCTCCACTGATCCATCGGCACAAAATGTCTGTTAACCAAACTTTGGGTAAGCTTCTTCCCTTCCCCCCGCGTTCCTAACCTTTGACCTACCCTCGGTCTGACTGGCCAACAGCTCTACCACCACCCAACCTCCCCGGGAGAATAGGCTGGCCTCAGGGTAAACATTCTCTCATCTGCTATTCCATCAAGCCACCCTTTCATCCCACTTTTTTCACACTGGGTTCTTTCCTCCCTATAGAAGAGAAGCCTTTTGCTTACCTCTCAAAGGTGTGTTGAGCTTACGGGCAGAGTGTGCAGTCCCTTTCCCCACCTTGCAATAATCCTTTCAGATTATGTCTCTCCTCACTGAGACTGGATTTATTTTCTCTTTGACACTGGCTGGAATGTGGATGTGATCTGTGGTGCTGAATCTGCCATCCTGGACGAGGCAGCACAACAAAGACCACAGCGCAGCAAGATCCAGGGAGCCCGAGTTCCTAACGACTCAGTGACGCCACCACACCAGCCAGGGACTGCCTACTGCTAAACTTTATTCACACACAAAAAACTTCTGTGTTATTCCAGATTACTTAAGGTTTTCATCACTGCCACAGCCAGTCTGAAGAAAACCTAGCCATAGAAGGAGCAGACACCAGGATGGCCCATGGTCCAGTTTCCTAGGCCCTACTTATAAGGGTGACTGCTTCTCCCATGCTTGAGATGACACTTATGAGGACTGGTCTTCCCTGCTGGTGGAAACAACTAAAGCACATACAGTAGCAACAAAAGAACCCTATGGTGGTTTTTCTCTTTTTTTTTGTTTTTTTGTGGTACGCGGGCCTCTCACTGTTGTGGCCTCTCCCATTGCGGAGCACAGGCTCCGGACGCGCAGGCTCAGCGGCCATGGCTCACGGGCCCAGCCGCTCCACGGCATGTGGGATCTTCCCGGACCAGGGCACGAACCCGTGTCCTCTGCATCGGCAGGCGGACTCTCAACCACTGCGCCACCAGGGAAGCCCCCCTATGGTGGATTTTCATCAGCTGCCCACTGAAGGATTCACACAAGCTTAGCCTGAAACATATCTTCTCCTTTATTTTATCGACAGGGCAACTGAGACCCAGAGAAACCAAAGAATGGTCCAAGCAAGGTCAAACAACCCGTCAGGACACGGCAAACCAGAACTAGTCCTCCAGACACTGATAATTTCCACTAGACGATGCTGTTGCTACAGCTGAAGAAACACAACCAAAGTCACCACATCATAGGTCACATCGTCAACAGAAACACATGGTAAGGAGATAACAACAAGGTCATACTGAATAGCACAGGGAACTATATTCGATATGGTAATAAACCATAATGGAAAAGAATACACAAATGTCTATGTATAACTGAGTCACTTTGCTATACACCAGAAACTAATACACCATTATAAATCAACTATACTTCAATTAAAAAAAAGGAACATGGTAAGGGACAGATAGATCAAGGAGCATCTACACTAGTGGGAAAAATGAACTATTCCCTCTAAAAGTTCAGCCCTAAGAAAAGGCTTGTTCAGTTCTGACCACAACTAAGAGATGTTAAGAGGTCTGTTAGGACTGAAGAGGAACACAAAATAAGGGTTAAGTGTGCTCCTGTATTACCTCATCTTCACTGCTATCTGCAGGAAGACAGATGTGAGCGATGTTCAGACCAGCCTGCAAAGAGAGCACAGGGAGATTCTGTCACGGAGAGAAAATGAATCTATCACCCTAAAATTAAAATGAAGTTTTAAAATCATTCAAAAAGTCAACAATCCTTACCTCCTCAGCCAAATTCTGGTTTACTTCCTGCATCAAGTTATCATCACCTGCCTTGGGAAAGGAGAGCAAGAAGGGGAACGTAACAACATAAAAATACCGTGGAAAGGCACAAAACAATACAAAGACTAATTCTGTGATTATACATTATCTGACTACAGAGACGACAGGGAAATGCAGAAAAAGAATCTTATTGCTCATAAAAGGGGACTAAGGGCTGGTATGTATCAACGTGTCAGTTTCTCAGGCTTTAAGATATATCACTTTTGAAAATAATACTCCTCATAGGGCGTATATAGCCACATAGGCAGCATTCCTTTCTAAGTGAGGACACCTAAGACGGGTGTTTAGGACTTGCCCTTGGGTGAAAAGCTACCAATGAGCCAAATTCCAGGAGGCCAGGCTCTCGTTTCGCTTTTCTTTCCACTCTTCTCACTTGCTTATCTATCTTTGTAGGGGGCGAGGAGACAGACCCCAAAGAGCGCAGGCCCCAAAGTGGCTTGAGCATAGCTCTCCAGTCTTGAAATGACAGCGCTGATGAAACTAGAGGCTGCTACTCTGATACACTAAGCGTGCACCAAAAACCACAGAGGCAGCCCAACTGGGCTGTGTGACCTCACAGGCTTGGCTCAGCGCACCACTTCCCTGCACCTGCGTCACCTGGGTGTGCCAATGAGGGCGGCAAACAGTGCCAACTGCAGCTGGCAATGAAGGGGCCATGACTAGAACACAGACATGGAACTCCAAAGTCCTGCCATGCCATGGCTTTTGGCCCTTCAGACTCACGGCAGGCTTGAAAAGACTGAGTAGTAAGATCACCAAATACCATGTCTCAGCAAGCATCTGTCTTCCACAGAAACAAAGTGGCATGTTTTTGCCCATCCCACTCAAATCACATCTGATCAGCATTCATAATGGACCACATTATATCCTGTGTAATGCAACTTACATGAGCACCTACATCCTGACCTCCGGAAGCTATCCGCACCAAAAGGAGACAGACTCAGACAGAGTGGTACCTAACCTGTAATCCTGAAGAGGCAAAATGACCAGATAAAGGGGGAAATGACAACATTTCCACATGATCTTTCTCCTCCCTCCCCTAAGCCCGAGTGGGACTTCTGTGACAAGAAATGCAGCTGGTCACCTGTGTACAGTTGTCTTCTAAATTAAAAGACATCCTAAAATAGCAAGACAGAACCACATTCTTAGCTTACCTGAATAATAGCAAGAACCGGCTTAAAGGCAGGGTTTTTTCCTTGCAATAAACTCAGAACTTCTTTCGAATTCTGAATGACGTCTCTGCATTGAGAAAGAAAAACAATATAGTCAGGTCTAGGTTAATGACTAGAAAGGATGGATACAGCACATTTTCTTAGAAGGTTTTCTACTCTAAATGAAACTAATTAGACAACACAAGGACAGGCTCCTCCAAGTGTGGAAAGGGTGGAGGGAGGGGGAGGAGAACAATCATGAAATACCTGGCGTAGGGCTTCCCCGGTGGCGCAGTGGTTAAGAATCCGCCTGCCAATGCACGGGTCACGGGTTCGAGCCCTGGTCCGGGAAGATCCCACATGCCGCGGAGCAACTAAGCCTGTGCGCCACAACTACTGAGCCTGCGCTCTAGAGCCCGCGAGCCACAGCTTCTGAGCCTGTGTGCCGCAACTACTGAGCCCGCGCGCCTAGAGCCCGTGCTCTGCAACAAGAGAAGCCACCACAATGAGAAGCCCGCACACCGCAACTAAGAGTAGCCCCTGCTCGCTGCAACTAGAGAAAGCCTGTGCGCAACTAAGACCCAACGCAGCCAAAAATAAATAAATAAATAAATTTATTTTAAAAAAAATGTTGGCTCTTACAAATGAACTTATTTACAAAACAGAAACAGACCCACAGACATAGAAAACAATCTTATGGTTACCAAAGGGGAAGGGGGGGAGGGATAAATTAGGAGTTTGGGATTAACAGATACACATTACTATATATAGAATAGACAAACAACAAGCACCTACTATATAGCACAGGGAACTATATTCAGTATCTTGTAACAGCCTATAATGGAAAAGAATATGAAAAAGATATATCTATATATCTATCTATATACATATAGACATTTATGTATAACTGAATCACTTTGCTGTACACCTAGAACACAACATTGTAAATCAACTATATTTCAATAAAAATTTTTAATTAAAAAATATTGAATAAAAAATTAAAAAAAGAAAGTTGGCTCTTTTTCCTCTCACAATAATAGACAAAAGGCTTAGCCAAGGCAGTACCCAAGCTTCAGTGCTTAAGACCACCTCTAAGTATCATCTCTTGTCTCCATCAGGGTCTTGCATGCACAACAGCTTTCAAAAAATGCAAGGGGAACTTCCAGCCAGATCCCATCAGCAATAAATGGCCATGAGCAAAGGGACAAGGCAGAATGGCCAGGGGCAAAACTCCTCCCAGTTTTAGAGAAGAATTTGAGGAATGTAACTGGCAGGCACTGCTCTTGTAGGTGGATGAGGAGAGAAGGGTGCTCAGAAAACGTTTAAAGGCTTCAAAACTCAACCAGGATGAGCCTTCCCACAATCAGCTGGGCTAGAAGACATAGAGTAAATGGGAATGCAGCTGTCTACAACCCAGGAAGGTTTTGTTTGTTTTTAAACACTTGGGATAAAGCAACTTGATTCCCAGTGAAACAATTGTATTGTTGTGTTGATAAACCAGACTATATGTGAAAGTTCACAAATCACCTTATAAACGAGCAAGAATCTTCTGTCCAGCAACATGCGGCTGAGGACCACATGCCGTAGGCAGGTTCTCTGCCTTTCTTGGCTGCGAATTTGGGCCATACTGGGTCCTCATTTCTGGCTACTGTGGGAAGGCACTGGAGTGCGGGTCCCAAGTGGTTCTTGGCAATGTGTATATGGGTCATCTGGAAAGCTTGGTAAAGAGAAAGGCTTTGTGACTCAGCCCAGAAAGTCGGACTCCCTAAGTCTGGGTGGGGCCTGGGAATGTGTGTCTTCAACAAGGAGTCTGGGTGGCCCTGAAGCACTCAGGGGAAATCAGGCCTCTGGTTGACTAGCATGGGCAATTCACTGAGCCACTAAGGAACCCGTTTCCTCATCTGTAGAGCAGGTGTACTACAAGGACTCTACCTTTGTTCTTACAATTGTACAGTGTTGTTCTGTGCCTCAAAGCTATACCTGAACGCTAAAAACACTCCTTCCAAAAGCAATTTTCCCAGAAACACTTGTAGCACCTACCCCTCAATAAAATGAAGGGCACACGACTGTAGAAGCTGACACCTGTCACCAACTCTGCTCATAAAGTTGGCTAATGCCCCCACAACTTGTCACACGTGTGACGTTTCATTCTTTGGGGTTATTCCTTATTCTTCCATTATTCTTACAGTGCCAAGCAAAGCAAGCAAGGAGTTATCAGGCTCAAGAAGTCTAGAAAGTAGCATAGATGTTTCTCATCAGAGATTTTTCTGCCCTGGGTGAGAAAAGTTGCCTCCTCAACTTCTAGTTGGAAGGTGACTTCTGCATCCTATACTGTCTTTGGACCCTTACCCTGAAACCAAATCCCCCTAATACCTCTTATCCAGTTTATGATTAATCTCTCTATCCAAAACTTTATTCCTTTTCTTGTCCCCTTAATCCTGTGCTAAATGAGCAATAATCAACCAGAGTCAGATGACTAAAATTGCTGTTGTTGGTAACATCGTTAATATACTAAAATTGCTATCATAGATATCTTCACTAACTACAAACTCAGGCTGTTTCTCCAGGGCAAAATGATCTAACAGACCTCTGGCCAAGGACCACCCGGCTAGAGAAGCATAAACCAGAGACATCCCGACTGCCGAAACCACAATTAAGACACGCTGGACTTCCCTGGTGGTCCAGCAGTTGACTCCCCGCTCCCAACGCAGAGGGCACCAGTTCGACCCCTGGTCGGGGAAGATCCCACATGCCCCGTGGCTCGGCAAACAAACAAAAAAACCCCAAAACCTCTATCTCAAAGACCAAGTTGGAGTGGAGTGGATCTGAGGCGTCCCTTACTCCCCTGCAACAAACACTGTACCTGCCTACGTCACAACCCGGTGTCAGTAGACTGGGTGTGCTGCACATCTGGCGAGGATACCCCAGTTCGGTTTGGTAACAAGCCCTTAAGATGAGCTCAGCTGTACACTGCTTAAAATCTAATGACCGGAAGAGACCTAACCGCGACGTCCGGAGAGAAGACAAGGTAAACTGAAGAGTCCTTGGAGTCATAGGCCACATCATGAAGCGCCTTGGAAACAGAGGGAGTAAAAAGGTAAATTCATTTTCAGAATGAAGGCTAGAAGGAAAAGAGAAGAGGATGTCAGCGGATGGACGTGAAGAGCTCGCTCCATAACATGGCATCCTGGAACTAGGAATTCTAGTTAGGGAAGGGAAGAAAGGGCTTTCCCGCGACCCCCAGGCATGTCCGGAGCGCTTCACTCAGACAAGGCTCTACTTCCCCTCGCTCCCACCGAAGGGCTAGGAGAAGCGGCTAGGGTGTGTGTGGGGATCAAGGGGGGTGGGTACGGGGGTGGAGAGGGACCCGCGAACGTCTCCGGTGGGGACAGCGGAAGGCCGGCCCGGGGCTCCCAGGCAGAGTTCGCCTCTCGCTCGGGAGAGAACTTTGGAAATAAGGCTGAGCTGGGGATTCCGTGCCCAACGTGCAGCGATGCTGGGAACGAGGCGGCCCCGACTTCTCAGGCCGCCCTCCGCGCGTCACTGGGTGGGCCGGGCCGCAGCCCTCCCACGCGCAGGAGGCTGCGGCGTTTGGGAAGTGCAGACCTCACTGCAGTCATTGTACGCCGCCCGCAGCCAGCGTCCCGAAGGCGGAGCCCCTGCGCAGACGGGCGCCGATCGCTGGGCCCGGGGCGCTCGCCCCGCGGGCCCGCAGCGCCCCGGCCCCCACCCCGGATCCGACCAGTAGGCGGGCGGCCGGGCTGGCGCGGCGGGAGCGGGCGCCCCTCCCCCTCGGGGCTCCAGCCCTCGCCGCGCCTCCCCTTTCCTGCCCAGGCCGCGCCCGGCATCAGAGCAGGCGGCGGGAGGTGCACGTGGAGCGAGGCGCGCGGTCTGAGCTGCGCAGCACCCGCCGCGGATGCCCACGCCCTCCCGACCCCCGCCCCTCCGACCTGGGCCGGCCCCAAGAGTCTCCGTCCTCCGGCGCGGCCAGCCCGCCCGCCCTCCCGGTGCCCGCGCTGTCCCCCACCAGCTGCCGTCACCCCTAAAAGTTGGCACCAAACACTCGCGACCCCGTGCTCAGCGAAGCCCCCACGGAGGCCCCCGGGGCCCGGCCGAGACTCGAGAGCTCCGGCCCCCCCACCTCCTGGGTCTCCCCCGGCCGCCGGGGACTTGGGCGGCGGCGAGCGCCGGACACTCACCGGACGATCGAGTCCCGCGCTGGGGGCGCCCGGCTGCCCGGGCCCCGGCTGCTCCCGGCCTGGGTGTCCCGCAGCCGCCGCTGCCCGAGCAGGCCCTCCCCGCCGCCACATCCGCCGCCCCCGCCGCTGCTGGCGAGACAAAGCTCTCGGAGGCGGCGCGGCGGGCCGGGGGGCTGCAGGCGGCCGAGCTGGCGCAGGACGAGCGGCAGGCGCGCGCTCATGGCGAGGCGCGGGCGGCGCAGCGGGGACGCGGCGAGGCGGCGAAAGCGGGAGGCCGCGGGTTCTCCCGCGACGCGGAGATGCGGCGGCTGAGCTCAGAGACGCAGCGGCTCACGTCCCTCCTGGGGGTGGCGGGGCGGGCGCCAGGCGGGAGAACCGGACCCGGCCGGTAACGGGCCAGCGGCAAGAAGGTCCTGGCTATTCTTCCTCAGCGGAGAGGAGCCCCTAGGGGGCACTGCGCTCAGTGGCCGTGACGTTGGGAAGGTGGGCGCCTGTGGGGCGCGGGGCTGCTGTTCGAGTTGCCTGGACGTCAGGGACGGGCACTTTCTGGCACTTGCGAACACAGACTCGAAATTTGGCTAGCTTAAAAATCAGAGGAGGGTGGGGCGTGAGCATGGGGCTCCCTTCCTGCCCTGAGACAGTACCTTCTTGCTCCGCCTAGAATGCCAATAACATCCTGCCCTCGGGTGGCAGCTTGCTTCCTGGAAGGGCAATTGGTTTAGGGTTTGCTTATGGCTGGGGGCAGGGGAAATAGAGGGATTGGAGGTTAGAGCTGATAGGTACAGGGTTGTTTTCTGAGGTGATGAAAATGAAATGCTTAACTGTTTATGGAGGAGCATCAGAGAAAACACCAGAGGATCTGATGCTGGAGCTGAGTGTGTTTTTCAAATATATATACTGTTTATTTATAATGTATATAGAGAAAAGCATAAAGTAAAAAATAAAATCACCCACAATACTATTGCCAAGTCATAACTGTTAATTTTGATCTCTTAATTTTATTTTAACTTGTATTACGAGATTGTGACCATATTATATATATAGGTCTCTTCTTCACTTGCTATATCTGTTTTCATGAAATTGGGAAGGGATAGTACTCGAAATCATGACTTATAGTGGCTATATATTATAACCTAATCTATATTGTGGATAGACCATAATTTATTTTACCTTTTCCTGATGTTGTTTGTATTGTTTCCAGTTTGGTGTGAGAAATAACATTCTTTCATTCGCTTGTTCAGTAGCTGTGTGTTGAAGGCTTTCTATGTGCTGGGGGAGGGATAGGAAGGTCAGTTGGGGCCACACCTGTGGTGGCAATATTTACCTGTAACCTTTTGCAGAAGCAGTTCTCAGAAAATTTATAACTGCTAAAAATGTTAAGTGGAGAAGAAATAGCACAGGGAAGTGGAGAATAAACAACACAGCCACAACTTCATATAAAAAGGCAACCCTTCCGATCATACTGAATTGCACGGAAAAGTGTGGCATTTTTGTGAATTGCATGGCTCAGCATGGCACAGCAGGCCCCAAAGAAGACACATTCAACACTTCATGAACTATTCTGTATGGAAGAAAGGTTTGAATAGAAAAGATCAAGTTTAAAACTGTACACCTAAGCTAAATTGATTAGGAAGGGTGAGCCACCAAAACTAATTTGTTACTGGAATCCATAATATGGAAATGACTCAGGCCGTATAGATGTGCTACAAAGCCATCTTGAAGAAGGCACTTTGGAGGCTGTTTTCAGTGGTCACCAAAAGCTTACGGCAATCCACACCTTTAAAGCGATACTCTCTTTTAATTAGATCTCACATTAAAGTATAATAGGGAATTCCCTGGCGGTCCAGTGGTTGGGAATTGGCGCTTTCACTGCCGAGGCGGAGCCCGGGTTGAATCCCTGGTTGGGGAACTAAGATCCCCGCAAGCTGTGCAGCAGGGCCAAAAATAAAAGTATAATAAAGTTCACCTAGAAGCCATGTGGATTTTTTGTTTTCTGTTTTTCTTAAGTGAATTAACATACTTTCTAATCTTAAAAAATTTTAGGTGTTGACGCTGATGGTCAACAATGGTCTGTCCCATTATGATATGATTAACTGCGATCTTATATGTAATTTTAAGAAATCACTTTAAGGTCTAGGACAGCAAATGCCTGTGCCGATCAAGCCAGTTAAAGTATTTTACTCAACCTGTTCAGGTCCTCACGTGGATGACCATGGAGGCCTCTGTCCTCTGCTCACCTTCAACTCCCTCTTGGGCCCCACCCTGAAGTCATTCCAGATGAGAGCTATTTGGGTTCTTACACACTCATAAGACACACTTGTAGGAGAGGATAGGAAAGGGAGAAAGATTTATGGAAGAAAACTTCAGGATCTTTCATATTCCCAGGTTTGTTTCATGGGGAAGTGTCAGGATCTCATTTGGAGATAGATATGTCTGAATCTGTTTATCCCAAACTCAAATATATATTGGTTTACTTAGGAAAAGTCAACTACCCTGAGAGGAAAGGGCTCTCTTGTGTTGAAGCCCTTAAAAATGCATTAACTCACATTCTTTCCCTAGTGGATATAAATAATTTCAGTGCACTTTGAGATGACGTTTGGACGTAGGTCAAAGAAAGTTTGTTTCCAGAAAAAGGAATATATATATATATATATATCTGAAGTTAATATGATATTTATAGGTATAGAGAGAGAGTGAGAGTGCATTTGCTCTATACTAGCCTCCATGCTAGGCATGTGGTGAAGGAATCAACTTTGAACAAGACAGACACAATCTCGGGTGTCAGGGCGTCAGGGTTTACTGTGCAGAACTGTGTAGTAGAACACAGGCATGTTGATGGAAAGCTATAAAGCCTAAAGGTTCAGAGAGTTGTAAGTGTTAAGAAACACCTCCCTAGACCTGGAGAGTCACAAGAAGCTTCCAACAGATCAATTGGAACCTAAAGGATGATGATGTTGACCTTTTCTGACTTCAATCAACTAAAGCTTGGACGCTGTTGACCTTTGCCCCAGTTCTATGCTGAATTCTCTTGCTCAAGCCCCTTCATGAATATGCATGTACCCTTAGCTTAAACACTTCCCCAACTTTGCTGTTAGGGGAGAGACTGCTTTGCCTAAGATCCCTGGTGTTCTCCTTACTTGTTGCAAGTAATAAATCTTTCTCAGGACCTTTGGCATGGTTGTGTCTTTTAGCTTGACACCCACCAAGAGGGGAACCCAATTTGGGGTTAACAATGTGATTGTTCTGAGACACTCTCTATGGGTTTCCTGCATTTTGCATCTCTTCCTGTCTTGTATCAATCAGTCTTGTTCTGGGCTAGTGTTGAAAGGATATTTGCATAACAAACGACCTTGGAAAATAGAGAGTGTTTCCCTCCAGGGCAGAGAGGGGCAGATATGTTTGCTGCCCACAGTGTAAAGATAATGCCTCCCTCCAGGGTCAAAGATTGGGCAGGTTTGCCAGTAGCTCTTTAAGATAAAAGATTCCTAAATCCAGTATTCCTCAACTGTGAAACCAACCCACTGTGTGCGTGTAGCACATACTTGGAATGCTCTGCAGGCCCCCGGGGGGCCAGGAGAAGCAAGGGAAACCAATGCTTTCACGCTGCCTATCCTGCCGGGAGTGATCATGACCTCTGATACAGAGGCAAGCTAACTCGTTAGCGTGCAAGCTGAGTAAAATCCCAGACCCTCCACAGTTCTTAATAGTGATTTTTGAGCTGAGTGTTGCGGACCTGGCAGGTTTTCTCCTGGATCGTAGTGGGAGGGTCACGCAGGCAAAGGGAGCAGCTCCTGTAAAGGCAGAGACAGATTTGGAGGACTTTGTAGAAGATTGGATTGTTTTGTGTCTAGAAATATCATGCTGGCTAAGATTTGGGAGGATGGAGATGCACAAGTCTGAAAATGGGGAAAACTGGCAAGACAAACAGGTAGGAAGCTAGCGCGACAACGTCATCTCTTGTGTTCGGGGCCTCAGGTAGTTGAGGCTTCAGGCTAATCTTTACCATTGAAAGAGAACTGGGAGTCCTTACAACTGATAAGGACTTTGCTGTTTTCACTTCTCTTGCCTAATAACAGTTTGTTCTTTTGTTTCCCTTGAGATCATTTAGTACTGAGACCTGTTCAAGGAAAGCGTTTTGGCCAGGCTGAGCTCCCAGAATGGCTTAGGCCCAAAATGGCTTCCTCGCCTGTTTCTTTCTCCAGGGATCTGCTACCCTATTGGCTTACAGGATGATTTTCACCTTTAAATTCCATCCTCAGATCTCGGAGTCACCTCATCAGAAGCCAGCCCCAAACAGGCTAGATCTAATTTTTTTTTTTAAAGGCGGAAATCTGGATTTTCATGTTAAACCTTTTTAAAACTGTATAAACCAGATTCAGACTCTGGGCCACCAGTTTACAGCCTCTGATTTAACTAGTCTATACAAGAAGGAATCTGCTTACCCATGGTCTTGTGATGCTTATATGGAGAGCCATACCTTGCCATACAAACAACAGAATATTTGGGGGCTTGTGTTTGCCCCGTAGAGCGGATAATTTACTTACTATCCAAGCCCTGTTCTTTTACGTTTGAGCTGAATAGACATGGTTTTAGAACTAATGAAGTGGAACTGCTTGCTTCCCTTCCTTTCCTATCGTATGATGCATTGTGAATAAGCTATTGTCCGGAAAATCAAGCTTTGTTCTTTTTCACAGATACACAAAGTGAGCTTTGCCCATGGGCTTGCACCACCAAAGTAAAGTGGGCAAGTTTGTCTTTTGGCACCGAAAAAACTTCAGCATTCTGGGCTCTTCCCCTCCACCTCACCTGACTTTAACCCCACAGCTGCAAGTCAGACTACTCTATGACCTCACACCATCAAAACCAGTTACCTGGAAAGGCACTCAGTCTAAGGGGAATTTCAGAGAAGGGTATGATAATCCCAGGCTAAGTTCAATATTTGAAAAGTAATCAAAAGATACAGAAAATGGTCAGTCACAAGGCCACTGAAACATGGTATATCATCACTACCCTGAACCATTTTCTGCACAGCTCATAAGGCACAGTATTATAACTGAGTATAGTTCAGAAAAATCTTGATCTTTCTAGAATTAACACATTAATTCACACTGTATTTTACTTTGTACTTTACAAACTTTATTAAATAATGAGCATTACTAACTTTCATTATCATATATACAGTATTTAAACTATGTTTTCCTAGATGCACGGTTTTTTGTTTATTTTTCTGGGGGTTTTTTTTGCACAAAGAATAGAGTAGGTGAAAAGTGAACTTATAAAAAAAAAATTGAACCTTCAGTACAGAGACCTAGTAAGAACTTGACATCCATTTAAGTACATATAACTCTTTTCCCCCAATTATATACATCCCTACCCCACCTCCCGAAGAAACTATTTTAAACAAAAGCACTCATTGAATAACTTTGAGGGAAAATACGAACTTGATTATATATATACACACAGATCTCAAAATCTGTATCCTGGCTGACAGAACGGATGTATAGAACTGCAGATTTGTCCTAGAACCTAAAGACAACCATACAGACATTTTATACAGTATGACAGCAGCCTCCGTGCAGCAGGGTGTGTTCCTATGAGTGACATCAAAGTCGTGCAACAGGACAT